ATACTGAAGAATTTATGAGACTTATTCGTAAAAGTGACTACAAGATCGTAGATCACCTGCATCAGACACCTTCTAAAATCTTTATTCTATCATTTTTGTTGTGCTCAGAGGCGCACAGAAATGCTCTGTTAAAGATATTGAGTACGACATTTGTGCCACAAGAGATTTCTGTTAATCAATTAGAAGGGGTGGTGGCCCACGTAAATGCTGGTAACGGTTTGGGCTTCACTGACTTGGACTTTACTTCTGCCAGGAGAAACCATAACCACGCTCTTCACATATCCATAGAGTGAAGGGGAGTTGTTTTATCCCACGTGTTAGTTGATACGGGATCCTCACTTAATGTGTTGCCGAAAAAGGCACTAATGAAGTTAGATACTCAAGGCTTAATCTGCACGCCAAGTGATTTGGTGGTAAGGGCGTTTTATGGGACCAGGAGGTCGGTATTTGGCGAGATCACATTACTAATTCAGGTGGGACCAAAGGTATTTGATGCAATCTTTTATATCATGGACATCCAGCCTACCTACAATTGTTTACTTGGTCGACCTTGGATACATGTTGTTGGGGTAGTCACCTCGACTTTGCATCAGAAGTTGAAGTATATGGTGGAAGGGAAAGTCGTTACAGTCTGTGGAGAGGAGGATATTATGATCAGTCATATGTCTTTATTTAAGTATGTGGAAGTAGACGGAGAGACTCATGAGATGTTGTGTTAGGCTTTTGAAACAATAAAGATTCAGGAGAGGCCTCCTATAGAAGACAAAAGTCCAGAGATTTCAATGTCCTCGTTTAAGGAAGCCCGTGCTATTGTAGAATATAGTTCTTCGCAGAAGTGGGGCCAAGTTCTCAATGTTCCGAACAAGCAAGACAAGTTTGGTTTGGGTTACAAGTCGTTCGGCTCTTCTCAAAGTGCCCCAAGGCATATTCTATAAATTCAAGGACAACAACATGTACTTTTTGAACATTAGTGTAACTGTTACAAGCAAAAGTTTGTTAAATTTTTGTTTCTCATTCTAAATAAGCATCTGGATCATTTTTCTCTTGAAAGGTTGAAACTTTAAATTTTATACCACTCAATCTTCCTCTCTAGGCCTTCCCACTCTCTTTCTCCTTAATCTTTCCCCCTCATCAGTGGTATTTTGTAGGTTTTACAATTGATCAATCCTCACATGAATTGCCTCTGTTTGTTCTATCATCATCTCTCTCATTTTAGCTATGAAAGCTTCTAACAATAGTCTATTAGATTATATTCGACGAGGACTACCATCACCACGTGAACTTAACATGGTTAATCATAAAATAATAATAATAATAATAATCCTCATATGTCTACACTCAAATTTGACTTTTTTTTAAATGAGCACTCTTGCCTTTTTCCACTCAATTGATCTTTTTAGTTCTTTAAAGAAACCAAATTCAATCACAAGAAAAAAAATTAAATGGTAAATACTCAAAAGACTAGAAATGAAAGGAAAATGGAAATAAAACAAGGAAATAAGGAGATTAATTAAGACAAAGGAAACTACCAAGGAAATAAGGAGATTAATTAAGGCAAAAAAATAAAGCAATATTGATAATCACAAGCTTAAACACAACCATAATTTTTTTAATGATTTTTTTTCATTTATTTTTCTATTTATATATATATATATATATATATATATATATATATATATATATATATATATATATATATATATATATATATATATATATATATATATATATATATATATATATATATATATATATATATATATATATATATATATATATATATATATATATATATATATATATATATATATATATATGTGTGTGTGTGTGTGTGTGTGTGTGTGTGTGTGTGTGTGTGTGTGTGTGTGTGTGTGTGTGTGTGTGTGTGTGTGTGTGTGTGTGTGTGTGTGTGTGTGTGTGTGTGTGTGTGTGCGCGCGCGCGTGCGTGCGTGCGTGCGTGTGTGTGTGTGTGTGTGTGTGTGTGTGTGTGTGTGTGTGTGTGTGTGTGATTCAATACAAATAATAAGAACAAAAATTGAAATTTGCAAAAAGAAATGGTCATATATGAACCGTGTTCTAATACCACTTGATGGCTAACCAATTTGATATTCGACCATTTTTATCATACTTTGTTATATTTGTGAAAGTTATGATTTTAAACTATTATTTTAGTTTGGGAAGAATTGGAATAAAATGAAATGAAGAGAGAAATTGATGGAAAAGAGTAGAAATAAGGCGCCACACTCTTTCTATGATTTAGAAAAGATGATAAGTCTAAGTGAAGATCACGGCAATAAACACGGTTTCTTGATAAGATCAAAGTATGGTCCAATCCAGAATCAAAGGAGTAAAGCTCTCAAATTCACACAATGTGTTTGTTTAACAAAATTTAACTTATTTTTTAATTCATGATATGGTCCTTATTTATAGGTAAAGGGTAGCTTACAATAATAAATCAATAAATTCTATAAATACAACCTACTAACCTATTAATAATGATTTGGGAATAAAAGATAACACACTAAAGGTGGTGGAGAAAGTGGATATTCATTGCCTTGATGAATAATAACAATTTATAACCATTTTGATTACTGAATCTCACCTTTCTCTTTCTCCCACCTTCAGGGCTTTACTTATTCATTTCTTCAGTCCATTATTTACTTATAAACATAAATGCCATGGAATTTTAGAGCTTTAGGAGTTTTAGAATATTTAAAACATAAAAAAAAAGTTTTTTGAGCCAAAATTTGACAGGTTGGGCTCTAACACATCTTAATACAACATAATTGACTAAAAACATCAAAATGGGACAAAAATCCCACATGACATGCCCTCTTCATTAGCTTGAACCAAAATGACAATTCTTATCCCATTTCCTTTCAATTATTCCATTGCTCCCATTGGTTTGTTCATAATTTGTATTAGAGCATCATTGGCTCTCATAGTACATGCCCTTGTCATTGGATCTCCCAAGCTTTGGATTACTTCATTTAAATCTTGGTTCTCCATGTCTTCATCAAATAAGTTTTACCATGATACCGACTCCCACTTCTTTTTTCACTAGCACTCTTGTATTCTTAAATTCAATATTGATCTCTAATGTTCTCCAAATTCACTATTTCAACCGTAAAATTTCAAAGATAAACCAAATGAGTTTCAAACATACTAATGAGCACTAAAATGACAACAATAAAAAAACCCAATTCCTCCACACTCATAGGGTGTCTCAGCTAGTACCATAAAAAGGAAGGGAAAACCATTTTAATTTCTTGTTCAAAATTGGTTTCAACTCAACACAATCACACATGTAGTCCAAATAACAAGTAATTTATAAAAGTTATGATTTTTTTCAAGTACCCTTAGGGGTTCAACCAACAAGGAAGGACAAAAGGAATAAAATTTTGTTTTGTTTATCTCCTATAGTCCAATTTCTCAGAACCTTAAAATTGATTTAAATTTAAACATGCAATTGAAGAAGATGAAGTTTAAGAGTTTAGATTTTAAGAATTTGACTGTACATCCCGGGTAAAATTGATGGGTCATGTTAATTACCAACTAGATACGAAACCAAAACCCGAAGTTACCATAGTCCTCCCAATTCTAAACCATTCACAAGAAAGGACTAAGTCATATCACGTTTAATGAGCCAAATCGTGAAAGTCGCCCCAAGATTGAATGCAACTCACTTCTAATAAATACCCACTTTATGTGCAGACTGAGCATTAAGGCCATCGAATAACCTTAAAAATCTGACCTCGAACAAGGGGACAAAGACATTTCCTCCTTAAGCACCTTTCCCATATGGGTCCCATGTTTGTTGGATTTTGTACATCTCGGATAAATTGTTGGACCTAATTTATACCCGGGTTTTGAAGAACCAGCCCTCAAAACCCGTCTTCAATCTCACAGACAAAACACTTAAACCATCTTAATGAACATAAATGGCCAATCTCAGACAAAGAGATATGAGACTTAATTCCCAATAAATAGTCTCTTACAGACAAGGGAGCATAGGTTGTAATGGTCAATAAATGGGTTTTATAGGCACAAATCACACCAAAAGTCCTACATAAACCAGCAATCATTTGACACAATGACCGATGATTCCGATATGAGTTCTCCATAAAAGGTCCTCATTTGCCATTGTTGATGAGGTTAAAAATGAATCCTTACCAGTGAGGTACAATTTTTTTCTTGTGTGAACATTGACTAAAATTGAGGAAAATAAGAATAACTTAAAAAAAAAAAACATTTCCTTTCTTCCTACCAAAAGATATATGAAAGTTAATTCATGATTTATAGTGGATTTATTGAAAGTTTAAAACAAAATTATAGATGAAGGTGAATTTATAGTTTGGTGTGAGAAAGAGGTAGAAGAAGAAAAAGTGGGGGTTTGCCAAAAAAAATTTAATCATTGTATTTAAGTTATTCTTCTAAACAAAATTTAAAATTGTTCTTACCACTTATTACCGAACACTTAAGTCAGTCTTTACAAATTAATTTTATTTAACTCTAAATATTTGAATTTGATCAACTATATATCATAATTTTGTTGGGGCTATTCGAGAGGTTAACACGAGTATTTTTATTCTGGAAACTTTTTATTAATGAATAACACATTTTTGTGAGAGACACACCATTTACTCACTCAAAATCTTAAAATAATAGGTGTGTGGTTTCTCTCATTCATAAATATTTACGTCTACACATTTCTAACCAATGTTAGACTTCCCCACACTACTCACACTTTTTTTATTCTCAACAAATTTAATAAATATATTACTATTACTTTTGTTTAAGTCTCGTATGGTAAATTTCTAGAAGCATGCCTGAACACATAACAAATGCAAGAAATCAGTTATAGAAATAATCAGATATGTAAGAAATTTAAACAATATGCTTATGTTTTTTTATTTAAAAAAAGTACATTTTTTATTCTGTTGCAGTTGGATAGTTCTTACAATAGACATGAGTATTTAATATTGTGAATAAATTAAATATTACTCCAACAAGGTATAGTTTTCTTGATCATAATCATAATCATCATGTGGAGAAGGAGCACAAAAGATGCCACCCCATTGAGGAAAGTAGATTAAGGTAACAGGAAGAGTACACACTATCATCATTAAGCCCATCAGTGATATGCTTGTTTGTTTTGATAAGTCATCACCTGAGAATAGCAGCATTTGAGTTATAACAGCTCCTATTGTTCCACCACTGCCTGTCATTCCTGATATTACCCCTAGTGACCTACAAATTCCAATGTATATAAAGATTTATATATAACTAGTAATATTAAATATGTGTAAAAGTTTCCTACATTATTCAAGATCACCAAAAATAATTATCATATAAAATGGTATTCAAAATATCTGTAAATAATTATCATCAGAATTCGAATTCTAGATCTCAATATATATTGGTTATTATTAATTTCATATATGAATAATAGTAAAAAAAAGTTTAAAATAAATTTCTTAATCGATAAAAAAAATTCAAGACGTGTCAATGAATTTAATGTTAAAATTAGTAATTTTCTTTGGGTTTGATTGAAAAAGGTCAACCAACCCTATGAGAATTTACTATAGGTTGAAATATTGTTGTAATTGTTTTTAAAGTGAAAAATTGAAAGCATTTGTAAACACAAAAGAGATTATGACAAATTTTTGTCGATTGCTTTGGTGTGAAAAACTTAAATGTTGAGTTTGGAAAAGAGTTCATTTAATTTGAAAACATTAAACCATAGAGATTGTTGGCAAGGTTTAGTATGTGCTAAATTCTTTGTGAAATAAAGAGAAAAAAATTTAAGTTGTCGTTTTGAAAGAATTTTTTTTTGGAATAAAGTTGGTTGAGTTATTTAAAATCAATATTGGGTTTTTAGCCTTATTGTTTAGTGTCTTCAGTAGAGTTGGATTAAGAGGAACTAAATCTTATGGCTTAAAATAGGGTAGGTTGAACCTAAACTCTTAGGGAAGACTTTTAGGATGTTGCATTAATTTCATCAGTTGTGTGGTTTAAAGTGTGCGCGACTCAAAACGATTTGTGTGTATGCATGATTGAAAAAATTGTTGAGGTAAAAATACTTTATAACCTTAACATGTAGCATGAAGATACATTGTTTATGAATGTAAATATTTTTTATATGTACTTTTTGAATGTAATTCTTGTATGATTGTCTTTTTAATGATATGAATGTATTGGTGTAGAATATGATTTGTATATATGAGTTAAGTATGCATGGAATTATTATATGAATATGATTATGGTGTTAGTGTTTTATATATTTGAATGTAATATAATCTTAGAGGTAAATGTTCCAAGAGGATTGCTTGTAGTTTATGGATGGTGGTTTGTTGGGGTATTTGGTAAGCTAGAAACCAAGTAATATTCAATGGTGCGGTTGAAAGTTCGGATTAGATTGTGGTAAGAATCATGTATTTATCTTGGTGGTGGATTCAAACTTTATCTAAAGGTAGACTTTGTTGTAATTTTTATGATTTGTATAAGCAACCATTAGATTAAATATAATGTTAGTGTAATATATGTTAGATTTTGTTGGTGTTAGTGGGTTGGAGTGTCATGAGTATCCTCTTGGTGAATATATTTAGATTATCAAAAAAATTCTCGAGGAAAAGCTATGTCGAGGTTAATATTAATTAATGTGTAATGCACAACTTTTGGATCTGAAGATTCGTGGAGCTGTATCAATGAGAGAAGACCATATGGTAAAACATCATATAAAAAAGTTAAAAAAAACTCGTGCAATATCATAGAAAGAAGCATGGCTGTTTGGATAATGAATTTGGTGATAATCCATAATCATTTGGATATGGTGATATTCCATAATCATTTGCATTGACATGTATTCATTATATTTATGTGGTTTGTACATAGTTGAGTTGTGTTTTGTGAACTTGTTAAATGTTATGTTTTCTCATGGTATGTTATATGTAATATTAATGGGTAATTTAGTATTTTAGTATGTTGTCTATGTGGCCTTAATATTTGTGCATAAATATACTAGAGGTAGTTATCATTTATTTCATCATCTTTCTTACAATTTTATTAGCTGTCATTGCAGAGCGATAAATATTCTCTCATTCCTTTTGTTTTTCACCACCTTGTGCACTAATAATTGGTATCTAGAGCTCTTGTTTAGATCTACGGGAAGCACGAGAAACATGAGTGAAACAGTGAGGTGTTGTGTGATTGATTTTGTTTCTTAAATTCGTGTTGAATCTTGAATGAAATCGTAATAGAATCACCTTTTTTGATTCTGCGGGATTGGGAAACATTGTGTTGGGTGAGATCTGAGTGACTTGCACAAGGTTGAAGATGAATGGAAATGGTAGTCTGAGCACCAAACTTCAAGTGTTCGATGGCAAGAACTGGAATTGTTGGATGATTCAGATGCTTGTGTTGTTTGGCGCTCAAGATGTTCTTGATCTCGTCAACGATGATTACGTTTCAGTTACATTTCCAGAAAATGCAACTAATGCACAGAGAAATGCTGAGGGTGATCTGAGGAATAAAGATTAGAAGGCGTTGTTCTACATTCGTTAGTGTGTGGATGTGAATGTTTTTGAGAAAATCGTTGATTCGACAACGACGAAGGTTGCGTGGGATACACTGGTTAGGTGTCACGGTGGTGACGTATCAGTGAAAAAGGTGAAGCTTCAGTCTCTATGAAAGCAGTATGAGAATCTCAACATGAAGGACAATGAGAAGGTATCTGAGTACATCTCCAAAGTGATTCTGATCACAATGAGATGAAAGCTTGTGGAGAAACCCTTTCTGAATAAGTAATCATTAAGAAGGTATTAAGATCCCTTACTCCTCAATTTTATTACATTGTAGTAGAAATAGAATATTCTAAGGATATAAACACCATGAGAATTGAAGAGCTACAAAGTAGTCTAAAAGCACAAGAGTTGCGTCTAACTGAGAGAACTTCTGGAAGAGAAGTATAGCAGCAGACTCTAAAAGCAGCTTCTGGAAAGAAGCATCAGAAGTAGTCTTGGTCAGAAGGCAGGAGAAGATCTAATGGTGGTCAGAAGTCAGAAATCTCAACTTCTGATATGCAGAAGAATTCTCAAAAGGAAAAAGAGAGGCATGAAAGAAGAAGATCTAGTGCTACTATTGTAAGAAGTCTGGTTACTTTGTTGCTGATTGTTGGCAAAACAAGGAAAGGAAGTTAGAAGAAGCAAATATAGCCAGAATAGATTCTGATGATGAATCTGTGATACTGATGGCTTCTGAATCTGATGATACAAATTTGACAGACTGGTGGTATATGGACACTGGTTGCTCAAATCATCTTTCTGGAAATAAGAAATGGTTGGTTGACTTTGACTCTGGAAAGAGGACAAAGATCATATGTGTTGATGATAAATACCTTAATGCTGAAGGTGTGAGAAATGTCAAAGTCGTTCTAAATAATGGAAAAATAGCATTGATCTAGAATGTGTGGTATCTACCTAGTATGAAAAGCAATCTGATGAGTGTAGGGCAACTAATTGAGAAAGGTTTTTCATTTACCATGAAGGACATTCTTTTAAAGCTGTATGACTGTAATCAAAAGCTGGTTATGGAGTCAGAATAGGGAAGAAATAAAATATTCAAGGTGAATGTCAAAAATGCAGACTCTAAATGCCTTAGTGCAACAAGTGTTGTGAAGGAAAGTGAGTTATGGCACAGAAGATTTGGTCATCTAAATTTCAGAAGCTTAGGGCATCTGAATTTGAAGAAGTTGGTACATGAAATTCCTACAATTAAGAAGCCTGAGAAGTCATGAAAAGTGTGCATGGAAGGAAAGAAACTAAGATTTACATTTGCGTCAGAAGTAGCTTCAAGAGAAAAGCATTCCTTGGGAGTAGTGCATTCTGATGTGTGTGGTCTATTTCCAGTAGCATCGATTAGAGGGAACAAATACTTTGTGTCATTTGTTGATGAATTCACAAGGATGGCATGGGTATCCCTTATAAAGTTAAAAGACAAGCTATTTTCTAAATTCAAGAAATTCAGTATAAAGGCTGAGAATCAGAGTGGTCAAACTCTGAAGATTCTCAAAACCGATGGTGGAGGTGAGTATAACTCCATTGAGTTCAGAAATTTCTATGAGGAGAATGGAATTGAGCATGAGGTTACTGCTCCTTATAATCCTCAACACAATGGTCTTGTTGAGAGAAGAAATCATACTTTGCTTAATATGGCGAGAAGCATGCTGAAGGAGAAGAAGCTTCCTCACACCTTATGGGGAGAAGTCGTTGCCACCGCAACATATGTGCTCAACAGATGTCTAACGAAGATACTGAAGGAAATAGTTCCTATTCAGAAGTGGATTGGAGACAAGCAAATTGTTATCCATCTGAAGGTGTTTGGTTTTATATGTTACAAACACGTTCTAGAATCCAGAAGATAGAAGCAAAGTGATGTTATTGGTGGGGTACCATAGTACAGGTGCATATAAGCTTTATTTTCCAGAAACTAATAAAGTTGAATTTAGCAGAGACGTCATTGTAAAGGAATTAGAAGCTTGGGACTGGAATAAGTCTCAATCCAACTCTGGTGTGAGAACTTCGGAAGAAAAGTCAGAATTAGAAGTTTTTAAAGATGAGTCAGAAGCTGGAGAAGATTCTGAAGCTGATGTAGACTCTGAAGGCGAGTCTACCTCTGATGGTGATTCTGACTCTAAAGGAGACTCATAAGGTGAAGATGATTCTGATTTAGATTCTGGTGGTGATTCAGATTCTAGGAGTATTCTAGACTCTGAAGGTGGTCAAGGTTCTGGAGGAGGTTAACCTTCTGAAGCAAGAGCTTCTGAAGATAGAACTTTTGGGGTTCCAGCATTCGAAGGAGATTCTGAACGAGGTTAGAGACCACAGAGAGTCAGAAACATCCCGAGAAGATTTTTAGAGTATGGCATGCTACAAGATACTGAAATAGACTCTAAGGGAGAGGTTATTCAGTGTGCCATGGTAGTAGACTCTGAACCAGTAAGTACAGAAGACGCCCTCAAAAAGAAAGTTTGGTTGAAGGCCATGAAAGAAGAACTTGAAGTTATTGAAAGAAACAAGACTTGGAAGTTGACTAAGCTTTCAAAGGACAAGAAAGCCATCAATCTCAAATGGTTTTTCAAGGTGAAGCTAAAGCCAGATGGATCAATTGGCAAACACAAAGCAATGTTGGTAGCAAAAGGATTTCAACAGAAACATGAGCTGGATTATTCTAAAGTGTTTGCATCAGTAGCG